GAGATTGTAGTCTCCAAGCGGCTCTTTGGGCATGTTTTGAAGGTTGGTTCGTGGATTTGAAGGACAATTCCTTCTCAAAATATCGGTCTGTGTGCGGCCCACAGGGCAATTTTCTCGAACTGAAGGACCGCAGGCGGCTCTTAGGGTCCTCTTTCATGAGCAGTTCCTTTTGAAAGTATCTTTTTTAAAAAATATCGGTTCGTAAGCAGCCCACAGGGCAGTTACTCCTTAAAATAAAGATCTGTATGCGGCCTTCAGGGTACTTTCTTTTAATGACTAATTACCGTCCGGAGCCTGCCGTAGGGCAGTTTTTCGCCTGTAAGCAGTCCATACGGCTTCACTGCAATATTGGTTTGTACGAGGGGGGGGTATGGCGGATTTATCCCAGAATATGATATCATTTGTTTCAGGTTACAGCTCTGTAGAAGGCCCGTAGGAAAGTTTTTTTTCTCTTGCAATATCGTTTTGAACATTCGTAGGGCAGCTTTTACGTATCGCTCTGTAGGCGGTACGCGGAGCAATGTCTATTCACAAAAAATGGTGTGTGGGCATGAGAAAACAAGGTTTGTTTTCGGTGACGAAATTTTCGGGAATTAGGGTATGTTTTGAGTGTTTAGCTAAGTTATAGTAGACTACATCGTCGTTGTGAGAAGCGACTGCTTGGTGACTCTCAGTGGTTGGTGGGAAAATTTGGCCCAAGGAAAAATTTCAAAAGGGACTCAAAAGATACCGACTAATCAGCAATGAGGATCCTTAGAAGAGAATCAAAAGTCATTGATTAATCAGTTTCATGTTGCCCAGAACTAATAGAAAAGGTATAAACGTAGAGGTAACTGTGGTGACAACTATACGGCTAAAATGTATTGCCCCCACCCACTTCCAAGCGGCCCTTAGGGTCGCTGGTCTGGACAAACATCCATCGCCTGTTGTTGACGTGCGTGGGCCCCCCTGCGCTTTATTATGAAGTATGATGCACACTGAACCCTATTAACGACGGCACCCATACCAGTAACTTTCCAGTGAACATTTTCTAGCCTAAAAAAGTGTAGAAATCTGTTCTATTGACTAACATATAACCGACGAAAACAAATGAGACAAGGAAACAAGGAGAAATTACTGGAAATGAGCAGATGCTAGTTTTGCCGTTCGTCAGTTAACTTGCAAAGTGTGCATTACTCATATTAAGTTACGAAAGACTCGACGATATGTTGATTGCATTATGGTTTTTCCCTACTGACTGACGTCAAAGGGGAATTTGTGAAACTTCGCCAGGTCACGGGAGACTGCGTTTCCAAAAATGCTCAACCAACGCGAACCTTGGTACATTTGAAAAATCGTGACGATGGCGCGACCGCGCGCAACATGCACGCCACTTCCAAAAATCGCATTTTCTTGGTTTTCCTCTCTAATCGAATGGTTTTTTTTGCTTACATATGATAATATTTAGACAGTGGAAGTGACCGAAGTGAAAGTTGAGGTGACGCCTTCTTGTAAGAGCGTCTTATGCTCATGTGGGCGCGAAGTCCGCAGTAAAGTCCTTCGTCACGAATTTATGAATGAACCATACCAAATCCTCTTCCAAAATCTCTCCAAAGAAGAGCCGTGAGTTTCGCATTGCCCGCTCCATTTCCTTTCCCAAAGCTGCTGTAAGAATGCATGCGAACGCACTAAAATTCAATTCCCGAATCTTCTTATGGGCAGGATGCCCAAAGTTTCCCCCATAGGTAAGTGCCTGTCACACGACTGTACACTTTTTCTCGCTCTGTTTTACTACGCTACGTTTTTTTTATGTTGGGACTCAAACTCTTATGAATTTTCTGGCCAAAGTAAGGGAGTCCTTTTGAATTTTCTGGCCAAAGTACACAAAGTCTTCTCCTCCAGGACTTTTTGAGTGGAAGTGGTGAATACCACGTGCCCATTCCTGCTCCCTGTTCAAAGCCGCTGTCGCCAATGCATGCGAACTCAGTTCTCAAATCCTTCTACGGCGAGTGTTTATAGCTCGCCCTCCCCCAAATTCTCTTCTAAGCAGGTACCATATCACACGGTCTCCAGCTCTCCGCCCCCTCCCTCTCCCTACTCTACTACCTCAAAGTTCCCATGTCAAACCCAAACTCTCTCCCGTAGTATTTCTAGCCGAAGTACTCGCTATATCCTCCTCCAAAACTTTTTCAAATGAAAGCACTAAGTTCCATGGTGCCCAATCCTTTTCCCAGCCGATAGCTGCTGTAGCCAATGCATGCAAAAGCATCAAAGACCATTCCCCCCAAACATTACGGCCAGGGTGCTCTAACAAGGGAAGGATACCAACATTAGTCGGCGGTTAAAGATGGGATGTATATCAGTAGACGCGCCTTTGAATTCTGATTCCAAATCTGCCTTCCGTTTCTGCGGAATAAGTTTCGGAAAGAAGTTATAAGCGTTTGAATTTCCAAATTTGTCAAGGTTTAGGTAGCCTAAAATTGGCGAAAAGCTGTACAAAAACACGGGAAAGTGGAAAATCAGTTTTGTATCAAGTTTATTGTTTGCAAGGAAGGAACAAAGCCGGTGGAACTTGCATAGGCATTGCTCTAGAGTTTTTCAGTGATTTTAAGCCACTTAATGCTTGGCAAATTTAGACATTCAAAAGATCATAACTTTTTTCGGAAACTTTTTCCGCAAAAAGGGAAACAAGATTTGGAATCAGCGTTAGAAGGCGCGTCTACTGATATACATATCATCTTCAATCGCCGACTAATGTTGGTATCCTTCCCTTGTAAGTTGTTCTCCTACTCTCTGCTAAGCGTATACTCTGTCACACTGTTCCCACCCCCCTCCCTCCCTCCATTTTTCGTCGTCAGAGTTCCCATGTAGGAGCCCAGACTAATCTTTATGGGTTTGGCCAGCACCTGAGTTTTCTCCCTCCAGAACTTTATAAATAGCAGCGCTGAGCTCAACTGTACCCATTTCCAGAGTCAAGCGGACACGCCACCTGTGTGTCGTACTGAGGGGTCAGAGAAGGGAAGGGGATGTGGTCGTGAAAATGTTGGCAATGATAACGTGATTCACGTCTACGTATTTTACGTATCTACGTATTTCCGTCTACGTAACCCTATTATGCAAAATTCAAGCATATTGAGAAACTTCATAATTGAGATAGACATAGACAATGCATCTAGAAGCTTTCTCCACTCATTCTCAGCAATCGGCATCACGCTGGCTAACTCCATACATACAAAGCTGCATGCACATTGTTGGATAGTGCAATGCCTAACTTGAGACGTTCCAAAGTCGGATATATCATTCTGAAACCAGCTCGGTGCCACCGGTGTCCAGAGGAAGAACGTTTGCAAATCCAACATATAAGGGCAAAATGGACCTTCGAGATGTTGGTAAAAAGGGATAAGAGATGTAATGGAAATAAAATTAGCCAGCTGTCATTCCCCAAAAGAGGTGCTACGGGAAGAGGTGCTAGGTGCCTGTGGTATACATCTTATCTGGAACGGTCGTGATACATCTTATCTTGAACCTTCCCTTGTGAGCAAAGTTTTTAGCAAACTTGGAATTTCGACTCATATACCGTACCCACACCGCAGCCTAAGAAGATGGCGCTATTCTAAGAAAACAGTACGATATTCATGTTCAGCGGGCTAAATATTCTGCTTAAAGGCAGTGTCCAGGCAAATCTGGGCATATGGGTTTTTTGCCTGGAAACTGTTGAGGAGGTCCTAGCTAAGACACTGCCCAAACCGCAGCGCAAATAATTCATTCACGGCTGAGAAATTCATCCATAAACACTCCGCGGCTGCGCCGTGACCGTAACATTTAAGATGGGTCCCAGCGCGAACATAGTGTTAAAGTGAGCGTAGTCGTTTTTGGGTTACGGTCACGGCGCAGGTTCGGGGTTTTCGAGGACGGATTTCTCAGCCGTGAATGAACAATTTGCGCTGCCCCTTGAGCAATGCCTTAGTTAGGACACCCTCATCAATTTCTAGGCGAAAAAGCCATGCAGCCAGATTTGCCTGGACACTTTGCCTTTAAAGGCAGTGCCCGGGCAAAAACTCGATTTTGAGATTTTGTGCTTATCCGGACTTATTCGCTATGGTGGTTGCGAAAAACCACATTGGAATGCGCGGAAACGGTGAAAAGGGGCTTCGACGCAGGAGGGAAAGAGTGAGGGGCGGGGCGTTCCCCATTGTGAATTCACGCTCCCAGCTTCTGGAGCGATCTTCTCGATTCCGCTACCTGCGGTGACATCGCCCAAGTACGAACGACTGACTTGAAACAGGAACCGGAAAAATTGCTCCGAAAGCTGGGGCGTGAAATCACAGGGAAGGACTCCGCCCACCTGCTGATTTCCCTCCTGTGTTAGAGCCCTTTTTCGCAGTTTTCGCGCTCTCCAGTGTGAATTTTCGGGTTCAGCGTAGCGAATAGGCCCGGGTACGCACAAAATCTCAAGAACGAGTTCTTGCCCGGGCAATGCCTTTAGAAAGTTTAGAGCAAATTCGCGGTTTTGAAGGCAGTGTCCGGCAGATACGAAAATGTGGAGTACAGGGGAGCCCATCTTGGTAAGGCTCTTGACCAACTGGCAATGCACCAATTTACTTCTGAAGCGATAAAACCGCTTCAGAAGTGGCGACCGGAACGCCCCGGCGATTGGGACGAGTTAGTTCACCAAGCGAGGGTGCGCATGCCGCACACAGTCAAGACGTAGCCCATAAAGACTTTGCGTGTTAACCTTGGCGGCAGGTGACGAAAGTCGAATCGAGAGCTTCTGGGAAAGCCCGTTTTCGTGCTCTCGAAGCTGCATTTCCGGAATCAGCAGGAAGGGTAAGCCCAGGTAAGCGTAAAAAATTCCATTCGAAATTTTGCCCGGACGCTGCCTTTGAGCATACCATATACCCAACTCTACGAAAAGGGTACAAATGAAGAAAAGTGTGAAGCTGCAGAAAGAGTGTGATATTCGCGATCGACATGTCGAACAACTCCATAAAACGAGTTTTAGTGGAACTCACACTTTTTAAGACCGGGATATTGGACAGCGCTATTTGACTGTGTGATCTATCAATATTGACCAGATACTCATTGTGAATACCTTAGCTATTTCCGTTTACGAATTCCAATGAATTCTCGAATGGCTAGCATACCATTATCATTCAGCCATACAACTTCAAGATGTGAAATGCGTGCTTTGTCAGGTGTCCAATCCTGCCACTCTCATTTACTCGCATTTGGTAGCTATTAGTGGCATACACGCCTCCAGTCTTAGGCAAATTTCTTTCCAAACAGCGCTATCTCTTCTTGTCGTAACGCTACAGTCTTCGCATCGATATTGGCGTAAAAACTGCTCAGTTGACGACTGTCGCTGCAAGTCCTCTTGACTCCACAAAAAAGAGTGCAGCGATAGGAACACCAGCTTCAGCGAAATTGTTGCGAAAGCCTTTCGCTATCCCAGGAAGTCCACCTGTAAGATAAGACTATGTCGAAGCAAAGAAATCCATGGATATTAACGAAATAAGGAAGCAAATCGAATAATAAACTAACCCACAGCTTTACTATGATCATTGTAGCGAGGGATGACTTCACAATGCTCGTCCTCATGGAAGGAAATCTGCTAAGAATCCGGCTATTGCACATTCCTCCTCTTGCCAATTTAATGGTTCCTAAAGCAACGTCTGAGATAGCGAATAATTCAAATGTTGAGTGATTTGCTTGTGCAAAGCTCTCGCATTGCAACTCTTCATAGACGGTAAGACAGCTCCACTGGCATGCAAGCGAGGCGCTTAAAGGCAGTGGATCGGCAAAATGAGACCCGTGCCAAAACAAGGTCACAGGGTAGGAGCCCCCATAAAGGAACCTATGGGCCAAAGTTCGATCTTTCTCTGCCACTTCTAACCCCCGAATTTCAAAGCGAAGCAGCGCTCACATCCTCAGCAGCGCTCAGCTCGCCCACCCCATGGACGAGTACTTCCACGGTCAGAGCGCGCATGCCGCAATGCTTTAAGCATGAGGGTCTCGCAAAGACTCTGCGTCTTCGCCATGGCAGGCTTCGCGTTCACTCGTCCATGGGGTGGGCGGGCTGAGCGCTGCTTCGCTTTGAAATTTCGGGGTTGGAAGTGGCAGAGAAAGATCGAACTTTGGCCCATAGGTTCCTTTATGGGGGCTCCTACCCTGTGACCTTGTTTTGGCACGGGTCTCATTTTGCCGATCCACTGCCTTTAACACGTTTCGGACCGGTGCGGCACATGGTGCAGCACGCTGCTTTAAAGGGTCTTTTTGACGTTCACAGAAGGTTTTCTTTTAGTCCAAGGTTAATAAGTCGGTTATCGCGCCATGTAACACGTTCTGAGGCCGCGAACTTTCCGATGCAATTGTCTGAGTATGGTAAAATACAGCAAGTACGCCCCACGCACGTTGCAAAACTTCTCGGATTGCTTTACTAACACTAAGTCCAGCATCAGGTTTCTTGCCTAGAAGAGCTCTCCACCAGCGGTAGACCCATTTTATGTACCGGAAATACGTGAAATGTTGAGAGAGACAAGAGATCAGCATGCATTCAATAACATCAAAGTACGCCTTCTCTTAAGAGATTTTCGCTTCTTCTTTTGTCTGCTGGTATGCCTTTCTCGTCCACTCGCCACAACTTCCACATTTCCTGCGAATGAAATATATATGGCAACACATAGTAAACGTCGAGAACAAGAGACTATGGAGAACGAGCAAGGGTCGTATGCGTTAGCGCAACAAATAACTTCGCGCTCCCGTGAGAAAGTGAGTGTTTTAGAGCAGACAATGCACAAAAGTTTGAATAAAATAAAATATTAGGTCGGTCCGAAAGGAAGAAAGCGGCTGTTGACAGCTATCGACGATTAAAAGCGGGTGGCACTGACTAATGGCACACGGCGGCTGCCATGATATTAAGGCACCTTAAGGCTAAGAGATACCTTCAGTGATTCATCAATAGCCACCTAGCGTGGTCATTTACCAAATAACTGAGAGTCAACGGTCCGCAAATCTTAAGTGCATAGGCGCATAGCTTTGGTAAGTCATCGCAGCCGTATCATGTCCTGCCCAAGTAAAGTGTGCTTATGTTTGATTACGAAGAGTAACTGCAGTATCGCACAGCAACTGGAGTCGCATGAGCTAGGCCTTGGGCCTCGGGCAAAATACACGCGATTTCGTCGCTTAGCGATTCCTCCAACAAATCAACAATCACGGGTCTATTGCATGCCAATCATTTTGCATTCGGTGATAGTTAGTCACGATCAGTCATGTCGGAAAACTATCATAACAACATGCAGAGATGCATATAATGGACTCGTAACAGTTGTTTTGTTGAGAGAATGGAGGCGATGAATTGCGTAAACACCCGAGGCCCTAGACCTAGGACGTCAGAAAGGGAAAAGTGCTACCGCAACGGACAGTTAAAATTTTAAACATAAGAAACGACTAATCACATATCTAAAAGAAGAAACCTATATCATAGCGGTATAGCGCTGCTCACCTATGAAATCGCTCTTTTGGCCTTAGAATGCGCACAACACACAGTTGAATCGTAAGGCCCGCAACTCTGCACGAACCTTGACAGTCATTCCACTGCCCATGTTCAACGTGAAAGGCTATCGTATAAGCTCATCCCCACCAAGTCGCTAAAGACTTCAGTTCAGGGTACTAACGGTGCGGTGTGATACTCGGACATCGGGAGGAGAGGGGCAAATCTACACATGGGTGATATCTAGCTGTAATGTAAATACCCCATTATCCAGACTAATTCTCGCTCCTGGCTCCAAAATGTGCGCCTGCTTTTGGTCGACATTGTGATGGGGACCATAGAATCCATTTTTGCGTAGTGGAACTGCAGAAGCCAACACTGCATAAACACTCTTTTGAAGAAGCTTTGCTTACACGCACTGATAGACGTCTCATACGCTGCGATTTCATCGCCACGCGAATCTCCCCCACATAATAACTCATACGAGTTCATTGCAGGCCGATCCTCTTGCATTCCGATTGTGATAGTATTCCAACACGACCAATCATAACTAAGTATAACGACCGATATTCAAAGTGATCCACATGCAATAAACTCGTAACAGTTGCCACGCTTAGAGGATCGCGAGGCGACGAAATCGCGTGAACTATACCTATGACCCTGAGGATATTTCAACTTGAAAAAATTCAGGTGAACATTTAACTTGATCGAAATCTCATGAATTCTGCGTTTGCGCTTGCTTGAAGAAAGAAGAACCTTCAACTCTTAAACAATGGTTCAAATCCATATGGTTCAATTTCGGCAACCAATTCTTTCTTTGTGCCAACCTCAATCGAATCCTTCCAAAAATATACACTCGAAGGTTTTTCCACAAAGGGACATCAGCTTGATGATAAGTCGTAACGAGTTTCGAGACTGTTTAAGTTAACACAACTTGGTTCCATCAAGAAACAAAAAGCAAGTACTGGTGAAAGATCTAGGCCATGATCCCACCTTATGACAAGAATGAAGTCTTCCATGTCTTCGTGGCAAACTGTTTACCCACTCAGTACTGCCTTTACTGTTAATTTGACAGCATACAGATTAGCTGATGGTGCTGGTGTGCAGATTAGCTTCTGTAAGGTGCGGACTGGATGCAAATCAGCGATGCTGATAGTTTATGATCTCATCACTGCTACCAGCTACGTAACGGCAGACCTTTCGGGGTACGCAGATAATTTCCGTTGTGACTTTGAGAAAGTGTCGAAATGTCTAACAAAGGCATGGTCAGAAGTTGAAGTGGCCAATCCAAACAAGCTGCATACCATTCGATGCAGCATAGAACGCTGGTTTCAAATCTGTCTTCCATATCTGCAGAGCGCCCATAGGTGCGATAGGGTGAGCAAAAGCTCACCCCCCCTTCACTTTGGAGGTCGGACCACCCCCCCCCCCCCCTTCACCTGACGGACGAAAATTTTTTTTGAAGGTGAGGAATTGCTGCATAATTACAAAAATATCAATGAACAAATGCATTTTCAGAAGAATCGAACGTAGATGTTATAAAAATGATCTCGACCGACAAAAACATGGGCAGTGGACAATAGTAGTTACTTTGGAGGCCTGAAAGGCGTTGATGGACGACAGATTTACCTGGAGAATATTGATGTGGATGATGTTAATAAAAGACCTTGCATTGATCATGTTTTATTTTTTTTTGCAAATAAAATTTTATGTCGATATTTATGTAGTACAATAAAAGAATGGTGTTCATTTGTGTTCGCTTGAAGTAGATAAAGATATAGAGTCCAGAACAATGATAAAATTAGTACAAATGGTGTCAGGAGAAATTTTTAGGGCAGTACAGTTGCAGTCACAACGTTGGCGAAATTTGAGAAAAGTCAGTTTTTGAGTCAATATAACTTGAGTAAGTTGCAGAATTTCATCTTGCGAGAGTATAGGCGATAATAAGGAACCTTTCCTCTATCACATAGAAAAAAAAGTAGATCCTAAAAAGTATTCGTCTTAGAATTATGAAGTCGCAAATAGAGCAGAAAACACGCCTCCAAAAATCGATTTTTCGCAAATAACTTGTGTATATGTAAACGAATTTGAGATGCGAGGGTATAGGTAGATTCTACTCTTCAAGAGCTCTCGATTGATATATAGCATGTGGGGGTCCTATGTTTTTTAAGCCCTGCGAGGGTGGGTGAGCGGCCTCAGTTCAGGGTGCTCACCCCCCGCCACCTTAATGCATTAGAGAGGCGCCGGGAGGTGAGCACCCTGAACTGAAACTGCTCACCCCCCCTCGCAGGGCTTAAAATACATATTACCCCCACATGTTATATACCATTCGAAAGCTCTTGACGAGACGAATCCACCTATACTATCGCCGTTTCGATTTATTCACTTATACAAAAGTTACATTAAAAAAATCGATTTTTGATGGGTTTGTTTGCAGCTTCATATCTCGGCGATGGGGGCATTCCGTGCTACACTTTTTTTTGCATCTTACAGAGGGAGGTTTACTGAGTCTTACCTATACCCTCGCAGAGAGATCGGATGTAGTAATGGAGAGTTACAGCGGGGAATATAAGGCGCTTGAAAAACACAGGTAAATTTTGAATTTTAGTTAGTCGGTCCCGTGGAATCTCTTTGCGAGGGTATAGGTAATACTAAATGGACCTCCCTCTTGAAGAAGCAAAAAAAATCAAATCATGAAATGCCCCCACCGTGGAGATATGGGGCTCTGACGTGGAGGGGGGGGTACCGTTGGAGCTATGAAAACTACCTCAGCTGGCAAAGATATTGAACCTCACAAATTATATATCGTTGTATAGTTTTGAAAGCCAGAATCCGAATCTAGATCAAAATTGGCTTTAGCCCATTTATACAAGAATTATACTGGAAAGTGATCTACTGCAAGTTACACAAGTTAGAAAAAGTGACCTTGCTCAATTATCGTCAACATCGTAGCTTCAACTTTAATGCCCTAGGAATTTCTCCTGACATCAGTTATACTAGTCTATCACTGTGCTACACTGTGTATGTTTATTCTGCTTCAAGTGGACACAATTGAGCAACGAATTTTTTTATTGTACTCCATAGATACCGACTTACGGATTTATTTGCAACAATGATTCCTAATCATCGCGGAGTCTTATTAACATTATCCACATTTGTAGTTCCAGGTAAAACTTCATTCAGCACCTTCCAAGCCTCGAGTATCTGCCATTGTTCATTGTAATTTTTGGTCGAAATCACATTTACACATTACACGTTCCACTCACCTAAACATGCATCTTCTCACCGAAAAGTGGTGTATGAAAATGAAATAATATTTATATTAATTCAAAACAAAGTACTTATAAACATTTCACTAATTATATTTCATACAAATCCAATTTAAAGAATTTGACCATTCAAACTGGATAATTTTATAATTTTCACCATTTTTCAACCCCCCCCCCTCGGTCGACGCTTGAAATTTTTTCGATTCCCCCCCCCGGTCGACACCGGCACTTTCCAGACACCCTTCACTTCTGGAGGTCAAAATCAGCTGGGACACCCTTCACTTTCGAGGGACCCCGATCACCCCATCGCACCTATGAGAGCGCCTTTGTAGGTGAAGTTATGAGCAGCTTTACGGCGAAAAAATCGTACACAAAAATTGCGAAATTAGGCACATTATTGCGCTTTTAGCTCACCTCTAGGTCTCGGGTCATATGAAGTGACCTATTCATGTCTTGGTCCAACAATGAGCCTAGAATGGCTCTGTACGGCCAAGTTTGCCCTTTACACGCACGATTTCTTAGCAAAATGATGGTCTTCAACTGCTTATAATTTCATCCACAAAACTGCTCTGTAGATAAGGAAGACAGATTTAGAGCCAGCGTTTCATGCTGCATCTAAACGGTATGCAGTTTTCTTGAATTGGCCACTTCGATTTCTGACCATTCCCTTATAAGCTCGAGTGGATTCCACTTATCGCTGAAGTGCTGCTTTTTCCAATATTATTTAGGGGTCAAGCGTCCCTCAAAAAATTTGGGAAGTATCCCAAAAAATTTTTCGGAGTGTGTGGCTAACGCCACGTACCTTAACAAGAAAAATTTTTGGCGCCCCCCTCCCAGAACGGAAATCTTGGGACCGCTATTGATACCTACCAGTCTCTAACCAACTCACATGATTTGACAAAGGTGACAAACATGGAAGCTCTAAGACTCCTTAGATATGAAAATATCCTGTCGATGCAGGTATGCTAATCACGACCTGACACATGATTGACCTACCGTCTCCAAGTAGTTAGATAGCTCCTAGTTTGTGATAGATAAGAACTATTCATAAAGAGAAGTAATGCCAAACAATGCCCTTCGATTCCCTGGGGCTTTGCACCTCTCTCGTGAGCGTGCTCGCTAACCGTTTTCTAGGCTTGATTGACGACCAAAGCTCCACTTACCAGGCGCCACTCCCAGGAAATGAAAGGGTAACCAGAAAAAGGAAAATGACACGATTATGAGCAGAAGAAAAGTCATGCTCTCAACACAGCAGGTGATCCTGATGTTTACACTAAATAACAAGCTGGAAAAGCTGCAAAAGCGCAATGAGAAGAGCAGTCGTGAAGGATCAGACATCGCGATCCTCCCGACAAGACAGCTATTACCAGCCCATTGCATGCCGGTCACCTTGCATTTGTGCTTAGATAATTGGTTATTCGAGATTAGTCTCGGAAAACTATTACAACCGACCGAAATGCTAGATGATCGGCATGCAGTAGAAGTATTTTGATGATTACGCCCACTGAAAATTTTATAGAACATTATTCTCCGACCAATAGTCTTAACAAGTGCTGATAGCAACTTTAAAGAGTTCAGCCGGTACATTCTACGCGCTGTCTTCGGCATGACTTTTGGTTCTGCTCCCTTTCTGAAATAAGAAGGTGCAGTTATCGATAGGCCAAGACACTAAATGCATGTAGACTAACTTGACGACGATCATCGTGCTCTTCACTCTTCCGCTCCATTGATCGCCTACGTCGGCCTCGGTCACTTTCCCGTTCTTCACTTCTTCTACGTTCCCTTGAGCTCCTACGATGTCTTCTGTGATCATCACGCTCACCACTTCTTTTGCGTTCTTTTGATCGCCGGCTCCCAATTCTGTCGCTTTCACGTTCCTCACTCCTTTGCTCTGTAGAACTTTTCCTCTTTGTTTCATGGTCATCATTCTTCCGTTCCGAACTACTTCGTCGTTCCCTGGAACTGTAATGGCGATCGTCTTCTTTTTCCTCTGTGTAGCATTATCTTCAAGTTCATCCGCCTTTCCATGCTGTTCATTAGCAGTGTCGATCACAACTGGTTCTTCATGATGCTCATGCCCATGCTCGTTGATAGCGGGGTCTTTGGAAGGTTCGATCCCATTGAGTTCATCTGCCGACCTAACAGGCGAATCCTTATTCTCTGGGTCTTCCTCCTTCTGCGTTTCGACGTTCTCTTCATGGTCTTCTTGCAGGTGAAAAATGATAACATCAACAGATTACTGAATGTCTGGACATACATGAATTACTCGGTAATTTGGGATGAATCAACCACTTGATACAGTGATATTTTTTTGGTTGAACTGATCCTGCTGTACTACAAGCTCAAAAGCGCGAAGCTCAAGCTCAAAACTGTAACATCTTTGAACCTTGAAAGTATTTCGAACCACCCCCCCCCTCCTCCCCGCCATCCGTTGCAATCCACAAGTTCCATGGAAAAGTCAGTTGCTCTTTTTACAATATAATTATAGTTGTCGAAAAAGTAGGTGATGTTGCGAGCGGACGGTAGAAATATGATCGCATATATGCAAACACTCATAAGTATATCGGCAGATAGGTGTTTGCATCAAGATAGTGCATCATAGGTAAAAGAAGGTTTGAAAGAAAATGCCGATCAAAATAAAAACCAAACACTGAGGTGTACCTCAATTTCTTCTCCTTGGTGATCGTCACTTGCGTCACCATCTGGAGACATGTGGCGATGATCATCCTGCGACTTCTTCCTATCGCGCTCTTCTTTTTCCTAGGAACTGTTATATAAAAAGAACTGGTGATATTAAGTAAAGCGTAACCTACTGCGTTAGCACGCGCAATTCTCTCTTGTTCTTCTTTTTCGCGAACGACTCGTTCTTCTCTCATTTCCTGCATTTTTGTCAAAGAGATCAATTTTGCCGAAATAGAGTTAGTGGATGCGATGATCAACAATTGTATAGACTCCCTGGGAATTCCCATTTCAAAAACAGAAAGGGCACACAACCATGCATTCCTTACCTCCTTATGTATCCAATGTGGAGAAGTTTTATCTCGGACCGAAGGGAGGAAATACATTTGTCCACGACCTTTCAGTCTTGTCTTTTTCTCGAGTTCACTTCTCTTCGATCCTGAACGATATCAAGTCAGATCACAAAAGGTGAACCAGAATAAGGGACACTACCGAGCGACGTCCTCTGGATCGCGACCGTGATCTTCTCCTGTGGCCCGATCGTGAACGCGAACATCGTTGATGACGAGAGCGAGATCGCGCGTTTTCCATCCCGTGAGCGTGTGCACGACCGTCGTCTTTTTTACCACTCTTAAACGGCAGATATAGAAAATAATATCACGTAACATTGAATGAAAACTCACATCATGATGCTTGTCTCTAGCTTTCCTGCCATTTTTCCTAAATTTGTAAGCATATAAAGCCATCTTCCTAAATATATCACCTGATAATACTCGGAAAATGGTTGAAGTTGGACTGAAACCCAGAGAAACATTAGCAGTGAGAAAGCTATATACTATCTTGATGTTTAGCAGAGTCAAACCGTAGCTTAGGGCCCTGGCCAGACTTCGCTCAATAGCGCCCAAAAGCGCTCAAAAGTGCCCAAATTTCTCTAATGTCTCTTCACTTTCTCGTGTGAGGAGAGATGAGAGAGATTAGAGAAATTTGGGCGCTTCTGAGCGCCTTTGGGCACTTTTGCGCGCTGAGCGCTTTTGAGCGAAGTCTGGCCGGGGCCTAGCATATGACAGAATTTGGAAAAAAAAAACCCTATCTCATCTTTCCATGGAAGCACGCATTCCAAGCAATAAGACAGTAGTGAACATACCTTTTCCTTCTTGCGATCTTCTGGAGTTTTCGATCTTCGCATCAAAAACGCATGCTGATTTGGTGGCTCCGGTGGAAGATCTTCTTTCTTGACCGAGCATACCTGTAAGAACAAGAACACAATTTGTGCCAGTGGAACTCAATAGTGATGCCATCTGAAAAGACGAATCGGTTGCCTAATAATCAAAAACATTGCGCAAAAGGCAAATTTGGATCATCACACCATTATTTCTCTTAGGCGCTCGCCATAGTTGATCCACTTCATCCACTTCGCTATTGGTCAGTTCACAGAGTTGATAGCGAAGTGGATGAAGTGGATCAAGCAGATCAAGTAAATCAACCATTGCGTGCCATACACGTATGGTACGATGTGATGTGAAGAGAGAGAGAGAGAGAGAGAGGGAGGGAGAAAAAAAGAAAGAAAGAAGATTGAGTGCGCCTAATTAGTACGAGGAAAGCGAGCGGTGGCAGCCGTGAAAAACAGGGCGCGCGCGCCGGGACCACCGCTCGCTTTCCCGCTTTTCCATTATTTTTGAATTTTCGCTTGCTATTTTATATTATTAGATATATTACATACCTCAAAATGCGCTTTTTTCGCTCTTTTGTTGCTATTTTGGTTGAATAAGGGTTTCCCTACTGATTTTCACGTCGAGAGGGACTTCGTAAATTTTCGCGAAGTCATGGGGGACTTCGTTTCCTAAAAACCTCCAAACCAACGCGTGCCGGGCCCTGGGTAGGGACGGAAAAATGAAACGTTCGAAAAATGGAGTTTGCCGCCCACATTCCGTGCAGAAAAATTGCACATGATGCGCTTTACAGTAAGACGAGATTAACTGAGCAAAAACGACGATCGTCTTCGGTGGATGAGTAGAATAAAACGCTGATAGCTTTTTCAGATGATGATGAAATCGAACAAAATTTTAGCCTTGGGGAGAGAAAGGATCAATTAATCGTTTTAGTCAAAAACTGAAAAATTTTGATTGGTTTAAAGATAAGTTAATGGGGTCAGGCGCAACCCCTCAAAAGCTCAGGCGGCCTGAGCTTCTGAGGTGTTGCGCCTGACCCGATTAACTTTATAACCGAAGAAGCTTCTCCGCCTCGGTTTTACATAATTCGCTAGCACAAACCTCATAGATTCTACAGCAGGTGTTTGAGGTCATCTCGACTTGTTATGGCTTTGTGGTGATCGGTGGAGTTGAAGCACTCGAGGTAGAAAACGCGGTGACTATCGTTTTAGCAGTACTTCTCAATCCATTATTTGAAAGCAATATGAAGTCTAACCTATACCGCAGACTGATAAAGAGCAATACTTTAATATGAATGCTAAAAAGCTGACTTCTTTCTCTTTTGTGACCAAGTTAATCATGTTTTGAAATCATGCTTTTCAAACGTTAGGAAACACTAAAAAGTATAATAGGTAATGGTTTGTGGAGCTCGTTGAGGTATTTTGGCATGCTGATCAAGGAAATCATACCCAATTTACATAAAAATCTTCTTTGGTGACCTTTGGTGACTTTACGGTATGTGTACTAGAAGAAGGAAAATTTGGCTGAGACTTCGTTAGTCGAGTCAATCAGCTGTTGTTGACGACAGTCATTCCTCTGATGGAGTTGTGAAATTCACGCTTGAGCGTTTTTCTCTATCATAGCATTTCCTCATTTAGAACAAATTCGATTCTTGATTACGACCCCCACCCCCCTTGCTCTTACCCCCAATACGACCCCCAGGTTGGGCGCGCCTGACCCCACGCTCAACCCTGGCTACAACTCACGCAGTCCAATCATTTTTTCATCCTGGTTTTCCATTCGAAAATGAACGCTGAAAAAAGGAGGGCAAGTTGTCCGCAACTTTTTGGCGGTCCCTGTACATTTAGCATGTGCTTAGTTGAGACTGCATTTAAATCTAATCCGCGGTTTTATCTCCTTTTTAGAGATTGGTACATAAACATCAAATTCTGACACGACCAGAGGTGCGGTGGTTTGAGCCGGGCCCACAAAGTGAAGGTGGTCCCAGCTACCACTGGCCGGCCAAAAGTGAAGGTAGTAGTGCCGGACACTCATCTCCCAAAACGTCGACGAGGTGGGGTGAGGGGAGGGGGGAAGGGAGCGTTAACGTCGACTGAGCCTATCCTTACAGGTCGTTGCCGCCAGTGCGTGGAAAATAATCAAAACAAACACAATTGAAAGCATATTTTTATGTATACGGCGGAATATGTATTCAAAATAAACGTGTTTAGTAAATGGTGTGTTTTGAAGTGAAACTCAGCGAGCCTTCACAGATGTTATTAAGTAAATTTCGTTATAACGTACTGCAAAGGAGGTAGGTCGATCCAAGCAGTAACCGCCGAGAATTAGAATTTTGAATAATAAAATAACGATAGATTATGCGAAACTTCCACTTTTATAAATCCTGCGATTGAAGATGTCAGCAATTGCGACTTATAGGTTTTGAAGAGTAAATGGTGCTCTATCAGATAATTGAAAAATCCAGTCGATTTGAGAGATGTTCGCCGAAAACCAGAATTCTAAAAAATTGCGCCATTTTAGCGTGTTTAATGACAGCTGACAGTTAAACTCGTATAAATCTTATGTGAAAGTATGTGATGTTGCGACTTCACAGTTTTTGTAGAGTAAGGTTTGCCTTATCAGAATATCTTAGCCGTACCGAATCGAGATACCGCCGAGATTCAGAGTCTTGAAGAAGCACGTATAAAAGCGCTTTTTCAACTACAACAGCTCATAATTTTTTGAAATCTGCATGAATCATGTTGCGACTTCATATTAAATTCTTCCCATCAAAAGCTTTCAGAAGGTATATAATTTGTAGGGGCTTAGAGCCTTCCATGATTTATGCCCGGGAGGGGAGACTTTTCATCAAAAATTCTCCCTGGCGGCCTCCATTCAATACATTAAAGTGGACTGGGGGGAGACTTTGTAATGAAAAGTCTCCCCTACCGGGCATAAATCGTGGGAGACCCTAAGCTTCTACAAATTATATACCTTCTGAAAGCTCTAGATGAGGAGAATCTAATATGAAGTCGCAAGATGATTCATGCAGATTTTGAAAAATTATGAGCTGTTGTACTTCAAAAAGCGCTTTTTTACGTGCTTCTTCAAGACCTTAAATCTCGGCGGTATCTCAATGGATAGGTACGGCTAAGATATTCTGATAAGGCAAACCTTACTCTACAAAAACTGTGAAGTCGCAACATCACACACTTTCACATTCAAGATTTATATGAGTTTCACTGTCAGCTATCATTAAACACGCTAAAATGGCGGATTTTTAGAATTCTGGTTTTCGGCGAGCATCTCTCAAATCGACTGGATTCTTTAATTATCTAATAGAGCACCATTTACTTTTTAAAACCTATGAAGTCGCAGTTGCTGACATCATCAACCGCAAGATTTATAAAAGAGAAAATTTCGCATAATTTATCGTTATTTTATTATTCAAAATTCTGGTTCTTGGTGGCTACTGCTTGGATCGACCTACTTCCTTCGCGGTACGTTATAACGAAATTTACTCAATAAAATCTGTGAAGGCTCGCTGAGTTTCACTTCAAAACACACCATTTACTAAACACTTTTATTTTGAATACATATGCCGCCGTATACATAAAAATGTGCTTTCAATAATCTTCTTTGCGTTTGCTTTGCTTATTTTCCTTCTTTATCTTCCAGCGAAAAAATTTTCATTCCGAAAGTAAAGGTGGTCACCCTATACAAGTTCAAAAGTAAAGGTAGGGAGAGAATCGGCTCCCACTATCGCACCTCTGCACACGACACACTACTCTTTTTCAGAAATAAAGCAAACAATAATAACAGCATAGTACGGCTTTTATTTTCCGTTGTCTAATAATTCTCTCACAATCACTTCATGCAAACGTTTAAGGCAGCGTCCACGCAAATTTGGGCCTATGGGGATCTCACGTGGGTAGTAATTTTGTTCTCTAACTAAGCCACTGCTCAACCGGCAGTTCAAGTAGTGCTTTAACGGCTGGGATATTATCCTCGACTGGACCCCAAGATCGTATCCCGCATGGATCTATGGCGCAATATCAGTTTCGCTTGGGTTCCCGCGCGAAACTGATGGGTTGCGCTGCGCTCCATGCGAATATGATCCTAGGGTCCAGTGTGGAGGCATATACCTCAGCCGTTACTGAGTCGCCTGCGCTGCTGCTCGTGCAGTACTTCAGTTAGGGCTTTAAATTACTGTCCACGAAAAATCCCCAGAGGTCCAGATTTGCCTGGACGCTGCCTTCAAAGATTTCTCTTCACGAAATTGCTTCACTATGTGGCTCTGGAAACCACAGCTTGCATGCATGATCCTTTTTTTCAACAAGGGGAGGATATTTGGTGACAGTGGCTTTTAGAATTAAACGTACACCTTGAGTGCTTCTTAGAGCGCTAATTCCAAATTTGCCTTCGTTATCTGCTGTGGGTTCTTCCGAAAAAAGTTATGAGCATTTCTTGCCACCAAAATTGCGCTGTTTTGGTGACAGGATTCACCCATATTGTTAGAATGGTCACTTATGCACTGCATAAGAGGTCCCAATAAAATAAAGTTTTACGTTGTTCTTAAGAAGACTGTCTTCGATGTATCTAACAAGGTAAGTGAGTTATTGTTGTTGTTGTTTGTAATTTAAAAAGCCTGAATACTGGCGATTCTTACCGCCTGATTTCGTGAAATTCAGAGGGTCGGACAACAGATGGCAAACATGATCTGGAATTAGCGTTTCAAGGCGCATTTGTTGGTTAACTCTCACTGCAGATGGCCACGATCACCAAGTATCTTTCCTCTGTAGTAGTAGAAGTATTTTATGGAATGTAAGTGCTCTCCGGATAAAAATGCTTTTGAGAAATCGACTGACAAGTACTGTTTCAACGGTTTAAGGGGGAGCCAGAGTATTGTTTTAGCAATGCGTGGAATTGAGAGTATCAAAGCCGAAACCACAAATCATGGAAGAGCTGTCATGAGTTCTATTACAATGTGTTTACCGTCAGAACCAGTCACGTCTACAATAATTTCAAGCACTATCGTCGGCAATATGATGATTTAGAAAGCGCTCTTTCGTTACGTGGAATCGCATCAGATTTACATTGTAGGTCTCAAATAAGATTTATAAGTTTTTGCGCGACAGTACAATGTCTCG